GGAGGGAGACTGCTTAACAACGTCCAAGAAGAAGAAGAAGAAGAAGATGGATGGATGGATGGATGGAGGGGGGGAGGGATGGCGAGATGGGGAGATGGGATGATGGAGGATGGCGAGATGGGATGGAGGGAGGGAGGGAGGGATGATGGATGATGGAGAATGGCGAGATGGGATGGAGGGAGTGATGGATGGATGGGAGGATGGAGAAAGGCAGGGAGGGAGTAGGGAAGGAGGGGAAGAAGAAGAAAAAAAGGAGAGAAGAAGACCTAGCGAATAGAGAAGAAGAAGAAGAAGAAGAAGAAGAAGAAGAAGAAGAACAAGAAGAAGAGGAAAAAGAAGAAGAGGGTGAGGAGGGGAAGAAGAAGAAGATTAAGAAAGTTTGAGGAGAAAGATGAAAACGCGAGGGGGAGGAGGGGAAGAAGAAGAAGACAAGAGGACGACGAGGAGAGAAGGAGAAGACGAAGAAAATGAACGGAGGAGGGGGAGGAGAACGGCCTTTTTTTTTATAACCTATCGTGTATCACGTGACCTACCGAATGTCGACGAACTAGAAGAAGAAGAGAAGAAGAAGAAGAAGAAGAAGAAGAAGAAGAAGAAGAAGAAGAAGAAGAAGAAGAGGAGGAGAAAGAAAACGAGTGGGGGAGAAGGGGAAGACGATGAAGAAGAACAAAGGTTATGGAGGAAGATGAAAAAGCGAGGGAGACGAGGGGAAGACTAAGAAGAAGAAGAAGAAGAAGAAGAAGAAGATGGGGAAGAAGTATGGCTGCGGTAGGGTATGGCGGCGGGGTATGGCGGCGGTAGGTTATGGCGGAGGTGGGGTATGACGGTAGGGTATGGAGAAAGGCAGGGAGGAGTAGGGAAGGAGGGGAAGAAGAAGAAGAGGAGAGAAGTAGACCTAGCAGAAGAAGAAGAAGAAGAAGAAGAAGAAGAAGAAGAAGAAGATCAGGAAAGGTCGAGGAGAAAGATGAAAACGCGAGGGGGAGGAGGTTAAGAAGAAGCAGACGACAGGACGATGAGGAGAGAAGAATGAGAAGAAGAAGAAGATGAGCGGAGAAGGAGGGGGAGGAGGACGGCCTTCATTTTTTTTTCCCACCTGTCATGTCTCACGTGACCTACAGATTGTCGACGAATGAGAAGGAGAAGGAGAAGTAGAAGGAGAAGAAGAAGAAGAGGAGGAGAAAGAAAACGAGTGGGGGAGAAGGGGAAGACGACGAAGAAGGAAAATGGTTATGGAGGAAGATGAAAATGCGAGGGGGACGAGGGGAAGATGAAGAAGACGAGCGGAGGAGAAGGAGGAGCGAAGAAGAAGAAGAAGAAGAAGAAGAGCCGAGAAGGGGGGGTAGGTGAACGGCCTGTCGTATCTCACGTGACCTACCGAATGATCAACAAGAAGAAGAAGAAGGGGAAGAAGTTCATCGGGGCCTTCGTCGTTACCTGCAACAGTTACCCTCGCAGCAGGGCCTTCGTCTGCCCGTTCAACACAAACCCTAAACGATTCCGACAGGAAGAAGAAGAAGAAGAAGAACGGTGCCTTCATCGTCGGGGCCTTCGTCGTAGCAGCAGCAGCAGGACAGTCGGGGCCTTCGTTGTAGCAGCAGCAGCAGGACAGTCGGGCCCTTCGTCGTAGCAGCAGCAGCAGGACAGTCGGGGCCTTCGTCGTAGCAGCAGCAGCGGGACTCTCGACGGCGATGGCGACGGGTGACGGCGCAGGAGCAACTTCGATCGTGCTGGGGGGCGAGTGGCAAACCACCCCAGCCGATCCCAGGTTCGAACGGGGGAAGTTTGGCTCCTAGATCCGCCGGCTCTGTGGCCGTAGATCATGGTGGATCGACGGCCACAGAGCCGGCGCGAAATTCAAAAAAAAGCAGGCCTACCGGGCCGGATGCGATGGTTTCTTGGGCCGGTCAGACCCGGTAGGCCTGCGGGAGGCCAACACCAACGAAAAGGGGGTCCGAAACCCCCCTACAGGTGAGTGCGCTGGCGGGGGTCGGCCCCTGACTGGGTGCCCTGCCCGGCCAGGCCGCCCGGGACCTCCCCCGGGCCCCTGTCGGTCACCCGGGCGGCCCGGTTCCCCACTCAGATTTAAAATAATAAATTGATCTTTTGTTTTTTCCTAGGCTGTTTTCTTGGGCGCCCGGGCACCCAAGTTGTGCCCGGAAAGACGCCCGGGCAGACCTAGTGCAAAATAATAATAATAATAATAATAATAATAATCTGGGAAAAAAATTGTTGTGTAGAATTGTAATACAAACAACGTTTGGCTGAGGGTCAGATCAGAATTCCTCACGGAACTGAAGATAAAAAAGAAAATAACTGAATCACTCCAAGGCACCCCCCCTTTAAACCCCTTTAGCCCCTTAAAACATAATTTATACCCTCCTTGCCCCCCGTCTGAAGCCAACACTCAGAAAAACAAAAGAGGCCCGATTTGGGCTCCTCTCTGACAGCGCGGAAAACCCCCACCGCCTTTTTTTTTCCCCCCTATTTTATTTACCCATTCCCGGGTATCTCGGGTGTCAGCCCAGTCCGGGCATCATGCCCGGGTGACCGGCCGGTCATGAAATTCTTCCTAGGTTTTTTCTGTGCGCTCTGCGAGAGGACCCCAAATCCGGGCTCATTTCGTTTTTTGTGAGTTGGCTGTCAAGGGAGGCGGGGAGGGGGGTATAAATTGGTTTGAAAGTGGCTAAAGGGGTTTAAATGGGGGTTCCTCTGTGGGATTCTGTTATTTTCTTTTTTATCTCCGATCCTGTGAGGACTTCTAATGTGACCCTCAGCCAAAAGTCGTTTGAATTTCAATTCTACACAACTTTTCGTTTTCGGAAATTTTTGATTTTTTTTTTTTTTCGTTTTTTGCGCTGGGGCTGCCCAGAACCCTGCCCGGGGGTTATGCCCGACCGGGCACACGGGCGCGTATCTCTAACCGTTTTGTTTTATGGATGGCCTGTGATGATTTGTGAAGGGAATAGGAGAGAGAATCTGGGGTCTTTTAAAACAACACACACACACAGTGGATCTTTTTTGCTCCATGTTGCTTGCTATAGAGGTAAAACTGTTTCATTGTTGGAATGACTCATCTCTGGTGTGCCTCATTGTCTGCAATAGAGGTAGAGCGGCATGGGTATATGATCGACTCATCTGGAAGGAACAGGGGCTGTGGTGCTGAAAATCCAGAAGATGTAAGCACACACATCCCCATGGGCTGCTTTTTTGGAGCACATGGAAGAAATGGGGGGTTCTAGGGTGCTTTAATCAGTGGCACTCCTGGTGTCGTGTGGAGATCTTGTGGTGTTTGGTATGGTCTGGGCAGCGGCCCCGCTGTAGCACTATGAGATATTTAATGAAATTCTGTGAAGCGGGTTGGAATTGCAGTCGTCTTCCCATAATTCTGCAGATTGCACGGCTGGGGGAGGTTCATGACACTCTTGGTGTTTGATTTACGGTGGCTTTGTTGGCCGACTCGGAGGGCTCTCTAAGTTTTTTCTTAGAGCAATTGTGGGCGTGGTCGAAGCTTTCTTGTTAGTGGAGCCTTTTGGGTTGTCGTGCAATTTATTTTTTTTGTTCTGTCTAATTGCTGTTTGTTAAATATGTTGCTCTTTGCCATTCATCCATTTATGGATTCAGCCTCCCGATGTCCTGATGAGTCGGTGACACTCCGACGAAACAGTTTGTCACAGCCCGTCGTTTGTTGTCCTCTTCTCCCTCTCTGCCGACGGTTTACTGGCAGCTTTGTTTGACGATATATATACATATAAATAATATGTGCTGTGACTCTCTCTCTCTCTCTCTCTCTCTCTCTCTCTCTCTCTCTCTCTCTCTCTCTCTCTCTCTCTCTCTTCCCCCCCTATGTGTCTGTGTGTGTATGTCTTTTCAAAGAACCCCAAATTCTCTCTCTCATTCCATTCATAAAGCATCACAAACCATATACTTTTTTCCTTTTCTGGATGGTTTGTGATGCTTTATGAATGGAATGAGAGAGAGAGTTTGGGGTTCTTTGAAAAGACATACACGCATACATTGTTGTAGCTGTGGACGACGTGCTATAATTTTATTGCCGGTGTGCTATAATTTTATTGCCATCGCTGCCGGTTAGAATGCATGTCGCCATATCGTCGTACCTGTGGACATCTCAAGTTGGGCTGCGGGGTCTGTTTATGTATGTTTTGTCTTTGCAAAAATACAATGTATGTTATTTGTTTTTAATTGCTGAGCTCTAGGTGGTCATTTGCCGGCGTCCTGCCGTCCCTGCCGTTGATTAGGTTTGCAAGGATAATGCGTGCCTGGTAAGAATGCACGTGGTCATCTTTTTAACAACTGCCTGGTAACCTGTGGACATCTTACTTTGGGCTGTGGGGTCTGTTTATGTATGTTTTGTCTTTGTGTGTTCTTTGTTTTTCATCGCTGAGCTACAGGTGGGCATTTGCCGGCGTCCTGCCATCCCTGCGATGATTAGGTTAGCAAGGATAATGTGTGCCTGGTAAGAATGCACGTGGTCATCTTGTTGACAAATGCCTGGTAAAAAGTCATGTTGTTGGGGTTATGGGACTGTACGGATGTGAATTAGTATTGTGAGCGCTTAGTTTCCACATTTTTGAAAGTGAGGGTTAAAATGCACCTGGTCATAGCATTGTCCAAGTGCAGATAGGTTGTGGGACTGCACAGAAATGAGTTTGCACTCGAGTGCTTAGCTTTTGCATTTTTGAACTTTGCAGACGATTAAATGTACATCTTCGTACTGAGAAGCGTTCTTCGACAATGACATCTAGTCAGTCTAGATGACACGTGGGATGAGCGCTAGCGCTTGCAGCCCGCGGATGGCGAGGCCCGTTCACCAGTGTAATAACCCTCACTTCAGGAGGAGATCGGGACTGTGAGGAGGTTGTGATACGTACCTGGATTCTTCATGTTGACGAGGCTCCAGTGCTGATTATGGTCTGATAAGGTGCCACGTGGCACATTGTGACAAGACTTTGATATGTGTTCAGATTACTGGTTATTGTAGGTGGCGATAAAGGAAGGAGCCCGGAGAAGGAGTGGGCATTGTGACYTCTTCTCCCTTGTCTTTCCTCCCTCCTTCCTCTTCGTCTGTGTATGATTATCTCACATCTCTATTTCTGGATACTGTTTGATTATTGGAACTATCAGCGGCTCGATAATCTGGACTTGCATTGTCAACAATCGTATTCATGACTTGGGTTCATTGCACCAGGAACCGCACGAAGTCGGGGGGGGACGCCATCGCTGAAATCGGCAATCTTCTTGGAGTTCGAGTGTTGACATCCCCCGGTCCCGCTGTATGACCGGAGTGGTGAATCCATGTGTGGGATAGCTGACGCCGGCGCACAAACAGCATCGAAGATATCGGCGACACAAATTTCAACTACAACGACGAGGACATGGCAGGGCTTTGATGGCGGTCTTTACATCATCGATAGGTGGGTCTCATCAGTGCGTCGCCTTTAGGAGTGGCAGGGCGGCGATGACGGACATCTGGTCAAATGATGGTGGGGACGGCAGGTCACCCCTCCTTACCTGCAGCACCCCACCGTGCAGGAGTTGACCTCATCCTCGTTACGGTGGGACAGGGTGTCAGTGGCAGAAATTGTGGGCGCGTACAAGCAACAAATTCAAGATACTGTCGCGACGATGCTCCAAGTGAAGGACAGCTTGTCACTGGAGATACTACAAGAAGCAGAAGACGCCTTCGATGGATGGGGAGATGGGCTGCGAGAGATTATTTCCTCGTCACGGGGCACTATTGACGAAGAGCAAGTTAAAATTGATACACAAGAGTGCTAGTGCTGTTGATGAAGCTGCGACAAATAATAGCACAACAACAAGCATCGCGTGGACACTGCGCTCTTCCGTATGGTCGCGACGAGAGCACGGGGCAACCTCCACCAATTGCGAAGCATCAGTGTTTTTGTCTGCGGATATGCTCCGATGGGCTGACCGGGGAAGTCGGTCCTTGGGGCTGACCATGGGCACAGATTGTGCGGGGGGTTAATTGCATGTGTTTTGTTCTTGCGCAGGAGATGCCCTCTGCGCGTCTCTGCTCCATGTTCACGCTGCCGTCTTCTACGAACTTCGCTATGTTGAAACCTAGGTGCCCTGGGAGAGGGAGAGAGTGGGTACATGTTAGGTTGTAGTAATGGGGGGGGGAGGGCAGAATCCCCAGAATCGGATAGCTGTTTTATTTTTGGGGGATGAGCTGCTGGGATTGGACGTTGGTTTGTGGGGTAGCGTAGAGTGAGGATGTGTAAGTTGATTGAGGGTAACTGAGGTTTCCGCTATCTCAGCACGTGCTGCCTATCCTTGGGTGACCGGGTAGCAGATCGCAAGGCTGCTAACTATACTGATGATTAGGGAGGAGCATGCACATTCTTGTGCCCCCCTGGGCAGTACAAGTAGTCATCCCGGGAGATACACCGACATGACTCAGATTTGTATTTTTAGTACTGTCGTGGAGGGGAACAATATGGAGGTGATACCAGCATCCCCCAATGGTAGGCCCCGAGTAATAGATGGCTCCACCGGAGTGTGGAATTTTTAAGCCCGATCTGGGGACATGTCCCACTGGCGTATGTTCTTCATTCTTGACCGCCGATTGCGGCAGGAATACACAGATCCATGGCCAGAAATGAAGAACACCATCTAGTAGGACTTGGGCCGCTTTCTAGTGCGGGTGTAGTGCTGGTGCGGGTGTAGTCCTGCCCTTGAGATTTTTCTGAAGTGAAGTGTAGTGGAAAGAGCCCCTATGTGCCGGAGCTGAGGAGTGAGTGAGCAAAATCGGGCGGGAGCGATGGTGGATGAACAAGATTTCGCGGGAGCCGTGGGTTAACAGGATGGCGTGGGAGCGGTGGGTGAACAGAAACGCGCCGATTGCTTGAAGGGTACAACCGACTGCCGTCGCTACCCGAATAGAATGCCCGGTCATTATCGTTGTATTTGGTGCAAATTAGAGTCTAGATACATCAATAATCACAGGGCGTTCTATTCGGGTGAAGATGGGAATTGTGAGTAGATCGAGCACGGAAGTAAATTAGCAGATATTTTTGGAGCGCATGCGGTCGAAAACAGGGTGCAATACAAATGTACATCATCTAGGAAACTAGATTAAAAAAGAAGAAAAAAAAAAAAAGGAAAAAGTAACCATCATGAGATATGCAAGTCAAAATAGATAAGAACTTAGAGAGCATGTTATGGAAGGGAATGGCGATATGGCTAAGTCACACAGATAGCTTTATTAGGGAAGTTGATAATCAATGGCGATATAGCTAGGGGAAGGTGAGCAGGAGGAGCGGGAGTGTGGGAGAGCGGGAGAAAAGGGGGAAGAGAAGAGGGGAAAGGAGGGGGAGAGGAGCGAGCTGAAGAGGAAGGAGGAGGACGAATACTCCGACATCAATGCATTGTTGTCATAATGTCCGTCGGCAATCTACTTGTTGCCACATCTGATAATCGCATTGTTTCCACATCCAATAGTCTGAATCACTCATCACGTCATGCGGACGAGTGTCGTCCGAATGCATTATTCAAATTCGGCTATGGCAAACAAAAACTAAGGTTATCGCAAGTCTGATGAATGCATTTGTGTGTGTGTGTGTGTGTGTGTGTGTGTGTGTGTGAGAGAGAGAGAGAGAGAGAGAG